AAACCGTGTCGACAGATATCTACATACACACTTGTGTAGTCTACCGTAAAACCGTGTCGACAGATATCTACAGACACACTTGTGTAGTCTACCGTAAAACCGTGTCGACAGATATCTACATACACACTTATATAGTCTACCGTAAAACCGTGTCGACAGATATCTACATACACACTTATATAGTCTACCGTAAAACCGTGTCGACAGATATCTACAGACACACTTATATAGTCTACCGTAAAACCGTGTCGACAGATATCTACATACACACTTATATAGTCTACCGTAAAACCGTGTCGACAGATATCTACAGACACACTTATATAGTCTACCGTAAAACCGTGTCGACAGATATCTACAGACACACTTATATAGTCTACCGTAAAATCGTGTCTACAGATATCTACATACACACTTGTGTAGTCTACCGTAAAACCGTGTCTACAGATATCTACATACACACTTATATAGTCTACCGTAAAACCGTGTCGAAAGATATCTACATACACACTTATATAGTCTACCGTAAAATCGTGTCGACAGATATCTACAGACACACTTATATAGTCTACCGTAAAACCGTGTCGACAGATATCTACAGACACACTTATATAGTCTACCGTAAAACCGTGTCGACAGATATCTACATACACACTTATACAGTCTACCGTAAAACCGTGTCTACAGATATCTACATACACACTTGTGTAGTCTACCGTAAAACCGTGTCGACAGATATCTACATACACACTTGTGTAGTCTACCGTAAAACCGTGTCGACAGATATCTACATACACACTTGTGTAGTCTACCGTACGTCAGCTGATTATGTTTGTTTCAAAGCTTTACTCGTTCCCAATAAAATCATAAGGTTTCATCTCGTTACCACATCCAATTGAATGAATAGATTTCAATATTTGTACTTCGACACTATTTGAAAATGATTTCGTTCAATATAGATTGAGGTTAGTGATAAACAATTAAATACATATTGTACAAGTTTTTTGTCGTTCGCACAAAATATGCACAAACCGTTGACTTATCATGTAACGTTTTAAGTACTGTATGTACGTATATGCGTTGTTTACGTATTAAAGCAATGGTTGCATCGAAAGTGCGAACGGTTACATAAACTTTGCTGTGATGTAACACGATAATATCATCTGCATGCGTCAGAATAGGAAAATACGAAAAAGATCACGTGGAATGCGCGTGCCAGACGCACCACTTATGTCATTTTATTATTATAATTATCAGTCTGAAGATGTCAGGTTTAAGTTACATTTAAAAGTATTTGTATAGTTAGTTTGATGAATGAAACTAAAGTCCGATCATTTTACGGGGAATGTTGTCTCTCCTTTTACTTTGGTGTCTTGAGTTGTATTTCAATATGCCGTGTCTTCTCTTTTGCTTTCGTTGTATACGTCAGGGCTGTAATTTGTTCCTTAGAATGTTCGTTAAGCTGTTTTATCAAATACCATTAACTTTAAATGTTATTTACAACAGGTTTCAATTGCTATGTGAATACATCATTCGCCCATGACACGCCTAACGTAATGTAAAATGGTCAATTTTAAAGTAAGTGTAGTCTCTCGCGTGCAATTAATCTGTGTTGTGTTATAAATATGTAATATATGTGACAAATGAAGAGTCCGGCATTGATCTTCGTCATATCAAATTACTTTTAAAATACTGTACTATGTCTGTGTCGCGAACACCACTTTAGTTGATATGACGCTCCTGGTATATTACGTGTTGTTCACGCAGTTTTCATCGTGTAGTTAAAATGATTGGGAGACACGTTACATAAACGTTACAAAGGCATTCCGTAGTACTTGCTTTATCGCCCAGTGAACAATCAGCTGATGGCTACATAAGTGAACAACATACAGGAGGTCCGTCGCATGACAGCCATTACAATCACTGTAAAGTATCTTTTCCAAGGTCACAACCATAGCTGAACAGTCATGTCCAATTCTCGGCTTCCTAGGAAACACAAACCAGGGGTAGTGAGCAGCGGACCCTTTGATAATGATATAGTTACATTTTAATAAAATACGATATCATAATACGGCTTGATATTTTGGATTCTATATATTTTTATAGAGAGAAATGTTTGCCTCCATATGCACAGATACCTTATTTAGTATATACAGGATGTTTAGATAATATACAATTTCACTCAGGTTACTCAGAGACCTTCTCGTTGCCATTTATAATTTATAAAACTAAAACTTGCTTTCGACTTATCAATAGTTGACACCGTATGCTGACGGCGCGGAATACCATTGTTTATTGTTGTGATATATTCTGTACTTGATAAAAAAAACTAGCTAAATACAATGATAGTGTATATATTAATATATTTTTTTTTTTTTTTTCGTTATATATTTTTTTCTGTTTTCACATTTCGGTTAATATGAAGAATAGAATGAAGATGATCTGACAGAAATGATAAATGTACTGTCTATATGATATCGTTAACAGTGCAGTATTGCCTAATACATAATATATAGGAATTATTATTCACAGGAATATTTTATGCATTCCGGATAGCTGATACCATACTGTGTCGATTACATCTCAGTCAAATGTTGATGGCTATTAAGCCCGTTACTGATTGGTCTCCCCTAACAACTTCTTCAGCCAATCAGAATCGTTTTCGTACAAACATAATCAGGACACTTGGAATAGCATGTTTTGAAGTTAATGTACAAGTTGATATTAATAGCAGCTCACGTAAAATGAAAGGAAACCCTCCTTAAAGAAATGGTTATTATAGAACTTAATTATTTACATCACAATTCTTGAAAAAAGAATGAAGCGGATTTAGAATCTCTTATTGATATACAACGCATATTCGAAGCGTATTGTGGGAAATTAATTCATACTTACGCGAAAATAAAAAATAGTAGGACTGTTACGTTTAGAGGGCTGTGAGAGGAACGCGTAACCGAACACTGTTAATGGACGGTAAGGGCGATTAGGTAGAGCTTAATGCTGCACTACTATGTGAACCAACTCAGACAAGCATCAATCAGCCCATATTTATTTTGTCCCGACAAACCAGATCATGTCAGAGTTTCTACCGTAATATCGTGTATTTGATAATGGATAGAGAATGCTTTCGAGTCTCAAATGTACGATGTATTTATCGCTATTGTGTTGCACCATAGAAATGTTTGATAATTGCGACAATAGATGCCTGTTTCATTATATGTTACAACAGAAATTAGTTGAATATTTCACTCTCTTATCAGTGGAATCGCATTCCGAGGGGAAAATGATTAATTTAGCAACATGAGGCTTGCGTAGTCTTTATCTTGCCCTACTAGCTTTCTTACGTGCGTTTGCGCAACAGCGTTGGCGTGAGGCGTAACGTCAAAGCTATAAATGGAAAATCTGGTTTTCTCAACTCCAGTGTGAGACAAGGAACTATCATTTGTAGATTAGCATAATTTTTCACTCGAGTGTATCTTTTACCGATGGTTGAGGTCACCCTATTTCATCAACAAGGGAGTGAATGATTATTTTTCTCTCACCCAGCTGTCTTTATTAGGTAACAGATACGTTTGTGTTGTCTCAGTGCTTCGCGTCGTTGATGTGATTTAATCGTTGACGTGACGTCAATAAATTGTTAAGATGACGTCATACCATTGTCGCGAAATGGGAATCCCCGTCTCAACCTTAGGGTGAAACAAAGTGAAATACATATATACATAGATATGTCATGGTAAGGGAATGGATTATCTGATAACATGGACAAGATATACGTAGTTCAGTTTGCCAACATACATAATATTGATGGAAATAAATTACCATACATACATGTATATTGTACATGTGTATTTCACGTTAATATTGTACAAGTTACAGAAAAGTTTACTTAAATGTAGCCTTTGTCAGTACCATCAAAATAAAACAATATCAACTTTCGATTTCACTTATATATTCATTAAATGTTACGGTCCATATAATGATGTTATATATGGTACCGACTTTCACTAAACAGCATAGAACCGAAAATCTGATAATTTGACTCCCACGAAGCAGAAATGTAACATTAACAGAATAAATTTGGGTCTGAATAAGTATCCACCGGCTGAACTCGTGACGTCTCTTATACACTGTACTTCGGCATAAAACAAAAACAAATACCATCTCACTATTGTAATATATATATAAGCCCAGTCGGCTCTTGTTAACACAAAAATAAAAACGACGACCTTGACAAATCAAAGTTAGAGTAACTTTGGTCAATATTTCGATGGCATGACTATAAACTGGAAAACGGAAGTCACACGAATTGTGTGGAAACATTTCACGATAAGTTTATGTTTAGTTTGTTAGTAACTAGACTACTCTGCTCTCTCATGTTTTCTCAAATCTCCATGTATACACATACATACAACCGCTGTCTGCACTATTTACCTATGTGCAGCGGAAACATACCTCTCTTAGTTCTATCTTTGGCAATAAAATATATTTGATTGAAATACAAAAGAGTTCGGATAATTTCATTATGACATCCTGACAGTAGAAGATCTCTTTACTCATCTGCATAAAAAAATATAACCCTGTTGTTCTGTCGATGATATATACCACTGAAAAAAAAAATCCTTATATGTACACGTTTAACATCTTTGGAAACAAAAATAATAATAATAATAAGATGGTTGGTTGTCATCAACTACCTCTTAAGCAACACGCTGCATCATTAGATCAGTACATCCGAAACAAACTTCTTTTTGACTAAGATTTCTCTTGCGGAAGTCATGGTGGTTAAGGAGTGTTAAAAATCTAAGTACCCTGCACATTTACTAGAACTAATACAGCATTGTGTGTGTTTAGAAAGGTCAGGAAAACGTCACTTAATACATTTTTATCTGCATGAAAACAAAAACGTTATGATATTTGGTGGTTTTTTTTTTTCAAAACAACATATAGGGATTTCTGGATTAAAAGTGGGGAAAAAGAGACGAACGTAAAAGAGCAGCTCAAACGTTCTTCTATGTTGCCGTGTGAAGCTGTGTATCTATTTGCTAGAGTAAACACAACATATCACATTGTGCGAGGCTTACAGGAACTTACAGACAACATTGAGTCCCACCAGCCGTCTGGATGAGACCACACAAACCTATGGACGGGCCTAAGCGATTTAAGTCGTATGGATGTGCAAACATCACTCCTACATAGTGGAAGGCCATCAACGACTCTTGTGAAATGGTCGTGCATTAACCGCGCCAACCTGTGGACGGGCATAAACTACTCAAACCTGTGGACAAACCGGATGGATGGACACACTAGGTTTATAAACGGGTGTTAAAATAACTGAAAATAAGCAATTTGTCCTTTGTATGGACGTGTCATAAACTAATATATCTACATGTACATAATACCTCAAATAGTTACGTTTCGAATTTACTCATTATACTCGTATGAACTTTGGTGTGTTTTAATGCTTAATAATGAACCTCCGATATTGAAATACAGAAATTCAGGAGAAAGAAAATCTAATTCTTCAGCGTGTGAAATTGTGCAGTTATTGTGCAAGTCAGGATTGAAATGCTATCGTCTTTGAATTATTCTGGAAATGTGAACTCCGTTGAAATTGGATGAAAAATTATTGTGAAGCTAGAATGGTTCTATTAGAGTATCCATTGAAAGTAACGAGAATTAACGTGAACGTTTGTTGTCCTATTTGACAATACGATAAATAGCCTACAAGTGTCAGTAGACACACTTACTGTTGGTGATAATTTCACCATAACTGCGGTACAGCGTGGTAATCAATCCCTGATAAAAAATTAATCTTATGACTGTGATCGAACAAATCAGTTATCACGTGTGTTATATATCTACCACTTGTGCACATATTTACAACTAAAAGCACACACAGCTGGAATCGACAGAAAGTTAAAAAAAAAAACTGACAGAAAAATTTCAGCACGTGGGCTGCACTGTTTGATTAGCTGTGGTTTTCCATTTTCATATAAAAGAGGCGAAATTAAACCAATAAACTAGAACACCACATAGTGAGAAAGAGATCACATATGAACAGCACTTATTTGCATTAAGCAGTTTTAAGCCTTGTAAAAATACTGATACGTTTGCGTGTAGACTCGATATTTATTAAATGCTCGGAAGACTTCACAAACACACATACGTCTAAGTACAAGCTGATTTTTATATGTTACTTAAAACAAAATATCATTTTATACTAGATCGGTTTTAACGTATCCGAGTAGACATAACGGTTATACGACAGTGCGTGCCGTGCTCGTGCCTGCCAGTGGTGATTTTAGTAGTCAGTCAGTCAGTCAGAACCTGTAACTTTAAAATGAATGATAGTTGGGATGTAATTGAAGGCATGGACAACTCCACGTCTGCTAACATGTCCGGCAATACAACGGAAGTGCTTTACTATGAGTATTATGATGACATGAGCCTGTATGGCGAATGTAAGGTAAGGCGTTTTTCCCTCTTATTAAAGAAACCTATCATTTGACTCCACGTAATATCTAGATACATATATCAAATTCATCCCTCTTTACATCCGTTTCTGTTCTGTTGTGTATTTTAGAGTAGTTCTAGCGAACGATTTAAGGACTATAACGTAGCATCATAGTTTTCTATTGTTGTCCTGTGTTGTCTGTGTTAAGACAAGAGAAGTTTTCTGTGTTATTGACCTGTTTGTGTTGTTTGTGTTAAGACAAGAGAAGTTTTTTGTGTTGCTGTCCTGTTTGTGTTGTCTGTGTTAAGACAAGAGAAGTTTTCTGTTTGTGTTGTCTGTGTTAAGACAAGATAAGTTCTCTGTGTTGCTGTCCTGTTTGTGTTGTCTGTGATCAGACAAGATAAGTTTTCTGTGGCATTGTCCTGTTAATGGTGTCTGTGATAAAATGTCTACGTGGGGCAGTCACGAGATTCTTGCCGCAGATTGGTGTTTTGTCTCTAAACAATTTCCTTCAACATCAATAATACTGTACTATACCATTAGATATTCCTCTTTCTAGATACACGTTTATTCGCTGCTTCTGTGGTTACTACGAGAATGACAATAATTCATCAAAGCTTTGATTGATAACGAATATGTGTCTAATTGTTATACAATAAATTTACATAGATCCTTTTTTTACAACAAAGGGGTATTACCACAGAAGTGTAATTTGAAACAATCTAGACCATTGTCTCGAATTCTTTTCACAAAGACCATGCAAAGTCCTGCAATTTCGTTTTCAGATATATTGTTGATATCTTCGTTTTAAATAACAAGAAATTAATCGACATGTCCATCGTATATAGCTACCCGAATAAGAAATCAAGGACGAGACAGACTCTTCTACATCAGCTGCTTGCCTCGAGTGTTTCCTTCGACGAAACTAATATGTGCAGCTTTCCACCAAATGATGATTTCTATTTCCCTATTGTGAATTTTCTATTTCTGGATAGTAACATCATAGATGCAACCCAGACATTGATGTTTACATTTCACAGTTGATTTGACATTCATGGGTTTGCTTTTAATATCAAGATTTTTTTTGTATAAGTTGTTGTTTACGTCTTCTCACGTGAGAACATGACATTACTTACTTGGATTGACTAAGATTTACAGGGCAGGTATCGTCCATAAAGCAGAAGACGTTTACTCTTCCGGAACACTTGGTGTTTTTCTCTTTGTACAGTTCAGGAGTCTTTTTTTCAGTTTGCCCTAGTTTCATTAAATTTGAGATTAGATCATGATGCTGCAAATTCCAAATACCACGATATATATAGTAAATGATTATATGATTAATGAAGGTTTTGTTCTTTTTTTTTTTTTTTTTTAATGTTCATGAACTTTGCTATTCCAATTACAGAATAATTAAAAAACGACGGAACATTGGGATGATATTAATAATGGTCACAATTGTAGCCGATATATATTATTGAATATTAATATTAGAAATTAATACCTACTTTTTTTGTTTTGGTATATCATGTATCTTGTTGTTATTTCCAAAATGCGTTCCTTCATATCAAAGAAAAAACAAACACCCGTACAGGCATTTGAGGTCTGGTATCTTTTGCCCAGCTGATCACTGCCGTTTCGCGTTTCTTCATATTAATGGTATAATAATGATAGCGGACTCGCAGTAAACTTTGATTGATGGGAGACCACCATAAGATAGTTTCAATGTAAAAATAAAATAATTGTTCAGTTGTCAAACAACATAGAACTAGACAGGTTCCATACACGTTTATGTTGATTTTCATGAGATAAACAATAAAATTGCTATTTTTGACGTTAAGTCATTACATGCAGAAGATAACAGCGTATAGGCATACTGGTATACCACGATGCATATTTATTCGTTTCGCGAGACTGATAGGTCAATACTATTCACAAACATATTTCTGTTGTTGGAAGGTAAAGATATATCTGCCATTTTACGTTCGCTGCTATATTTCTTACCTGTAGGTTTGATTTTTAAAGCTTTGGTCTTTTCTTGTTGGTAAAAAATGCTACCCAAGCTCGTTAAGGGAACTAGGAACGCAAGCTAATCAGTCATGGCTATAATTTGTCTTGGGGTCCAATTATCGGCGCGAGAAAGGTCATAAAAAAGGTATTAGTCTTCGTAGAACAGGGATTCACTCAGCGGTCCCATTGCAGTTCAAAATTTCACTGAGAAGACAAAGCTGGACAAATTGACAGAATTCACCTTGTCTCGCTTTAGGTAAATAGGTAACATGACAAAAGTAGGTACCTTAAATCAAACGTACAATGAAACTGCCAACTTTAAAATTCATTTCCCATTAAATGTAGTGACGATGGCGCTTAGCCAAACATTCCTCTCACGTCCGATTTTGCCCTCGATTAAGTTCCGTTCCTCTTTTGATAAGTTATGCGTGGGTCCATTTTTCGATGCATATGTTACTTTATCTAGTCATGTAACTATTATAGAAGGCTAGTTAGGACCTTGTTTGTTAATGCGAAGAATTTCGATTAAATTATTTCATTTAATAGTTTACACTTTTATTGCTACGCTGCGTTCCGTAATTGTCATAACTTTCCCAATCGACACGTTTCTTGTGCTTCGTTTCGTATATTTAATTTGAGTTCTTTAAATTTGATGTACCTTACCCAATTAACTTCCTTATTGTTATGTTGCGTTTCGTACATTTAATTTTAAGTTCTTTAAATTTGATGTACCTTACCCAATTAACTTCCTTATTGTTATGTTGCGTTTCGTACATTTAATTTTAAGTTCTTTAAATTTGATGTACCTTACCCAATTAACTTCCTTATTGTTATGTTGCGTTTCGTACATTTAATTTTAAGTTCTTTAAATTTGATGTACCTTACCCAATTAACTTCCTTATTGTTATGTTGCGTTTCGTACATTTATTTCCCCACTAAACACGGTTAATGTGCTGCGTTTCATAGATATTACTGACCTTTTACAATTGACATGTTGATTGTTACACTGCCTTCCATACTGCCTTATCACACAGAAATTCATTGATTGGAATAAGTTGATTGATAAACCATTTAACAAAGGTACCTTCTTGACAGTTTGTGAACATCGTACAGTTTCCGGCGTCCAAGATATTCTAAAACAAAATCGAAATCTGCATGAAGTGTTGCCTATGGTTTATGTATTGTTTGCTTTCCTGTCTTTATTGTGTTTGTTTCAGTACTTCGTTTACACATACATGACTTATTCATGAGTATCGCATCAACACCAAGTCAGTAATGCTCTCTCATAAAGTTGAGGCAATTTGAACAATAATTTATCAACAGTTTTTCCTCTTTCTAAAACAATTTAGGATTTTTTTCTATTTACTATTTTCCATTTGTCAACTTCTGTGTCCCTAAGCAGAATAATTTCTGCAGTAAATTCAATGGAATGACAGGACCCAGTTTTTAAATTTCCAATCTTCTTTTTGTTTTAAAGCATTGTATGCGTTACTTTCACATTAGCTTTTAACACAATTTTAAAATCGGCATTTTATTTTCTCTTAAAAATCACTTTTAATTGTGTTAACTTTTATGTCTTTATTTTGTAAATATTGTTTTTATGTCACATGTACCGTATTTCGCTTGGTAATCAGCTTGAAGCAAAACCACGAAAGTTGTTGATAATTGGTTATCTTCCAAATCAAATGGTTGAAAAGTTTAGTGAAGGAAAAAAACAGCTCAGTGTTGCAACTGCGCTTAAATTCTCCTAGTGCCTCTACCTGACACCTTATCCTAACTGTTTGTTGTTGATTCGTGTAGATATCAAGCAGCACGTGCTCAGATTCTCTCTTTTTTAGTTTTTTTCCCCTCTTTTCATACACGAGTCAGATTTATTTACAAGCAATGTGTTAGGTAGACCATATTTAATGTTCATTTTCACCCCGGTGATAAGGGCGAAATCTGCTTGCACTTTCATCGACGCATGTCCCACAACAGTTGTTAGCTTTTGTGAAGCCAACATACTCTCACCTATAAGACATATTTTCATACTACGGTATGTTAAACAGTATAGTAAAAAGTGATACGATGAAATGAAACAAAAGATTATAATACATCTTTAATAGATACAGGAAAGCAGACAACTGTTATATAGATGTCCCTGCTCTGGTTTTAGAAAACGTCTATGATAGAAAAATTTCACATATATATATGATTAACAGATACTGTATTATTGGTAATATTCGCGGACCAATTGACGTCGTTGTTTTCGCGGTCAATAAATAAAGAACAAATATTTTTAAGTGGATCAAAATGCCTGTGTAATGTGGGGAAAAATGTGTAGACACGAGCGAAATTTAATCACCGTAAACAAACCAGAATCGGGACAAGCGCGAGACATCAGCCCCACGAGCAATTAGACAGAATCGTTTTCTGTCTATATCATTATATGGGTGTTTGTAAGTGCAACAGGAAGGTAGACCGTAAGCTTAGTGTTTGTAAACCTACGATCGTGTAATTAATAATAATCCTTAAAGTTCCAGTTATGAATGCGCAAAACGGATGTAGGATAAAAATCTCGACAATGAATTATGGGATTGATTCAAAACATATTTTGCTGGCTCCTCAGTGGCGTGACAACTGCTGGGAGATTGTCTCATCCCGGTGTATTCCGCCCTGTTTGTATCCTTCATATAAAACAGCAACTTGATTTCAAGTTTGGATAAGAGGCTGATAAAGTCGATCATAATTAGTCTCAATTAAGTTGATGGTTTCTACTCCTTCAACCAAATCTTCACACAGCTTCTACAGATTTTTCACAACTCCAGTTTTTAACAGAACTCCAGGCCCTGTAATCACAGTTTCTTTTCACCTGCCCAAGAATCATTAAAGATCCTAAAATCGATATTATAATATTAAAGTTGACGAAAGTTATAGCCAAGTTCTATGATCGCCATCATGATCTTAGTTTTACATATTCTACATCATTGTCGGTTGGTAAATCACATGTGTTCGATACATGATAGTAT